ACACCTTTAAAAAGTTCTAAATTTTTATCGTTACATCAAGTTTCCTATGGTGACATACCTGTTAATACCATATGTAATTTTTAGATTGAAATCACCTTTCAATGGCGACAAAAACAGCTTCTGGTGCTGTTTCTGGACCACGACGTAGGTTAGCATTAGTAATTGGCATTAATGATTATCAAAACCACTCGAAATTAAGAAACCCAAAGAGTGATGCGCAAAAACTGTCGTCTCTCTTGAAAGACATTGGCTTTATTATTGATACGTCATCCTCGGTTGAAACATATGCTGAAATTAAACGGAAAGTTGTTGATTTCGAAGTCTCAATAGAGCCTGATGATATAGTTCTATTTTATTATGCTGGACATGGAGTACAATGGGAAGTATGTATCAAGATTTTCATCATTAAGCTACTTCGCTTGACCAATTAACATTATCTGTGTTACTTCTAGGATCAAAATTATTTGATGCCAAAAGACTTTCCTGAATTTCCTAAAATACATGAAGAAGATAGAAAGGAAATAGATGAACTTTTAGAAAAAGGTATTATAAAAAAGGAGAAAGCTGACATTTTAATAGAAGATATTTCCAAAAAGAAGATATCTAACGAATTAAAAACGAAAGCCATCAATGCACAAAATATTCTTAACACATTAAGTGATCGAAAACCATATGTAATAATATTTCTCTTGGATTGTTGTCGAGAGTATGTTTTGCGAAATCCTGATTTAAATAGACGTGGTGGTAACTCTAGTATAAGCGGTTCTAAATCAACTGGCTTAGCAGCAATGCATAAAGCAGGTGCACTGATTGCATTTGCTTGTGCACCTGGTACATTCGTAGATGACGGACCAAAAGGCAAAAATAGTTGGTTTATGAAGCATCTTCTACAACACATTCCAACTCCGAATGAAGATATTGTGGATGTATTACGTGATGTCACCGATGGGGTGATGAAAGATTCAAATGACACACAGATTCCGTTTCTGAGTGTTCAATTAAGACACAAAAATATCTATTTGTGTGATCAAGGTCACGGTAAGAAGAATGATTTTGAACAACACACGTAAAAAAAATCAGTGAAAACCTTAGTTCATATACAAGATATTTGGAGACAAACCAAGTTAAGATAGTTTTTCCCACATGAAAGTAAAATTGAACTAAACTGCTTCTATACGTCAGCCTTTTGGTAAGTAATGTCTACGTTCAATGATAATTCGAATGCTAGTTTGACAGAGAAATTCCTAGATCGAAAAAAATGCGAAAGCGTTTCCAAACTATTTCCGCACACTATCGATCTTCTCGTCGGATTCTTTGGACTTGTATTCTGTTGTGCTACTGTCTAAAAGAAAAGGTGTAATAGGAAACTATAAAAGGTTCTAGCGACGATCGTGAACCTTTTATGGTCTAGATTTGGGTACCATTTTACGAACCTTTTTTATGGTTCTAGACTGTTTGGCTAGAACCTTTTCTAGTTTCGCGTTGCTGGCTAAAACCATTTTCAGTTCTAGACTGTCTAGCTTGAACTAAAAAAGGTTCTTAAAATGGTACCGAGAAAAGGTTCACTATGACACCCTTTTTTTTAAAGAGTAGTAAGCTGTGTCTTCTCTTGCTGTTCGACGTCGGTATAGGCACATATTCTCGCTATATTTTCATACATGCACACTTATACTCTGAGTGTGCATCAGTATCTCTAACCCTAGTCGACTCTCCCCAGCGGGATCCCTGGTGAGTCTCTTAAAAAATGTGAAATCCCTGGTGACTCCCTGTCGTGAGTCCCCGGGGAGTTGAATATCTTAGAAATCCTTTGAAACTCCCCGGGGGCTCCCCAAATTTTATGGAGCCTTTCTAAAATTTTCATAAACTTAGATTCTTCAGAGAGTTCCAATGGCGGCCTCTTGACGCACCTTGATAGTGCCCATAAACTCCCTGGGGCTCCCTAGGATGTCCCCGAGAAGTCCCTGTGGAGTCCCTAAATCCTCTCTGAACTCCCCAGAGACTCACGACAGGGATTCCCCCAGGGATTCTTCTAGGGAGCCTGGACTAGGCTAAGCATTCGATTTGTAAAAAGGATTTTCGGAAAATCCTTTGACATTCTCACGCACTATAATTAAACTTCCAGCTAATTGTTAATTTATCGTTCTATTCACGTATGAACGACATGCGAAGGTTTCTGTTCATGCACTCATAGATCAGCTTCTCGAACTTCAAATTAAGTAACGCTTGACTATTATACCTTCAATTCTCAGCAAAAATCTTTCGACTCGACAGGTTTTGCGTAAGGCAAACTGAAATAATCAAGGATCAAACTTTATTCTTGCTTTGAATTTTTGAAATCCCTTGACTCTAACAAACATTTATATCACATGAACTCTTCAGCTGCGCAAACTATAATCTACAGACCGCTCATTCTGCTCTTTCATCAGAATGACAATTAAACGGTAATATATTACTTTTCTCAAGACTTGAATTCGATATTGATCTACTTGAAACGTGGAGTAGTTATCATTATGTTTTTGTTTCATGTTTACAATATTTATAGAATCATAGAGATTTTCTAAATATTTGTTTTCATTCTTATTATATTCAAAGTATGGTTGTAAATACCCGATAAGCGTCGTCACTAGAGTACAACAAATCCTATTTTTCTGCGAAAAAAATTTGTAATTCTTCGATATGAAAACCCCCCTAAATCTCACCAAATCTTCGAGTCAGATATATGCAGTTTTATTCACTGTATCTGATAGTAGTGCTTGTTTCCACTAATCCATAAGAGATTTGGTAAACAGATAGCATTATCAGTTAGAGCGAATAAAACTGAATATAACTGACAAAAAGGTTTGGGTGGATTTAGGGGTTTTAATACCAAAGATTGACAATATTTTTACAGAAAAACAAGATTTGTTGCATCCCTAATCGTTACCCACACCTTTCCTCATTCTCTAAATGAATAAGAGCTCCTAAATGAACGGAATGCCTTCAATTAAATCAGGATGTGTTATCTTCATCTGTTAATGTTTAGACATCTTAATATTAATGATGATGAGGATAAAAAATATCTGCTTTATTATCTACATTCAGCAATTTTGCTCGAAGATAGATGAATAAATAAATTATGCATCGACATTGGCATAGTTACATCATTTATTAGCTTTCTCTTTTACGAAGAATAAATAAATTGATATTATTAACTGTTGTAAAATTTTCTGTTTAACCTCAAGTGACAGTGTGTGCCTAGGGCATCATGAGCCCGTATCTCTTTCAAACACATCCGTATTCTGCGTATTTAAAGTTTGATAGAAGTTTACTTTATTGACCTCATGAGTTATTCAGTCATTCCAGCGTATGTAGTTTTGTTATTTCTACTGGTTTTTTCAATTTTGTCTACATTATGTTGATTTAGTCGTAGATAGTTAGAATGAAGAATGTCCGATTTTGCGCGTTCATTTGTAGCATATAACAGAGGCCGAATCCGAACTGACTGTAACTCCCTATATCAGAGTTAACAACAATTCCTCTGTTAAGTTTTAAATATGAGCAGCAGTGCTCATTTCAATACAAGGATGAACACCATTCTATTATTTGTATGACAAGTATTTCCTTCTTGAATTACATGATCAGTGATGCAGTTATGAAAACGTAACTGAAATAACAAATATTGTGGTTCTCTAATTTGAAGTTTATGGAATGAATCATCGAAGTTCAAAAGTTACTAGTCGGAGTGGCTTCGACGAAAATCAGAAGTTTTTATACTCACTTTCCTGTTACCTACGTCTTCTTTAAAGCAGATGATACCTATGACGTTAATTATACAAACTTGGAAAATATTGCCTCCGTTGATCGATAGAAAAAAAAACGATTTCTCATTATAAAGTCAAGTCCTAATGTGTAATTTAGCTCTTCTTTGAAGCTTCGAAATTTCTTTAAAATAATAAATTTAGGTTCTAGATATATAAAAAAAAACCTAAATAACATTTTATACGATTTGTAGATAGAGTTTACTCATGACCATGATGGAATTCTCTTTTGCGATATGAAGCAAATCGCATTAAATCTTAAAGCAGATTTTCTTCTTCATTTTGGTCTTTAGTATCAGTGACAGATAAATTCAACATTTGTGAGTGTACTACTTTATCAACGTCTTTAAAGAAACTTTCAATTGAGGGTGTTTGAGTTTTATAAATAATAAGGTATCTCATTATAATTGATATAAAATTAAAATAATTTTTTTAGTTATTGTGGTTTCAAATAACGTTGACTTTCTGATGTTTATCTAGATCAACAAAAGATAAAATGAGTTTTTTATCATTGAAAGCTTTGACTTTCTCAATGCAAAAAAACTAGAAAACTTGATTAAATATAGCTGTGACATTTCATCTATGAAGAAGATAAATGCTGTTGTACCCATAAACTTCAAACTACTAAGTTATAAATCATATATTTATATATATATATATATATATATATATATATATATTGTTTTCGAAAGAGAAAACATTTCCAGTTTATATAGTTTAGTGATATAATAACCTATATAGACAAATTTTGATTGGTGGTTTGTGTGTTTGAGTTCCACTTTGGTCATTGGAGATAGATTTACTTTTTGACTTTAAAAAATTTTATATGAAAAGAATTCAAAACATGTTTTTCTTTAGTCGTTTCAATCGAAAAAAATATATTGATTTAAATAAGAAAAACAATTCACTTTATTTAGAGAGTAGTTGCCTCAGTTACTTGTCCAATTTATTATTTCTCTCACCTAAGAATCCATGTACGTACGGTTCATCATACGTAACAAATATTTGAATTGAACATACTAGAATGAATGTTTGATGCAGTAATCAACCTTTGTTTTTTTTCTTGAAGAAAAAAGTTTGATTAAGTTAATGTGATAATTTGATGTGCGAGATAAATGAATGCATACAAGCATCAGAATAAGATATGCAAACATTAGGATAGCGATTTTTCTTCCATTTTTTCAGTCAAAAGATTTGATAAGGAAAATTTCAATGCGAATACTCGTATAGAATTTTTAAAAAATGGTGGCAATTAAATTCCATCATTTGGTTTTGACGCTCAGAAACTCATCTAAGTCATCAATAAAAAGAGGAGAAATGAAATATTATATACGGAAATGAGGATTGACAGTAAATCTTTTTAGCGATTTTAATGTATAGATAATAATCGAGAGAAAAGTTCAAACTTTGAAAAAAAAAAATTCTTATATAATTTTTATTGAATATCGAAACTGATAGAAAGAAAGATTCGATAGAACAAATCGATTTTCATAAGTGCTAAACAACGGATACCCTTTTGATCAAAAATTAACTCATTTTTTTTGCATATACACGTTGAGATACTTAAATATTTGTTTCATTTTCACATTGTTTATATAGGAAGAGAAGATACAATTATAATCAACAGATACGATGAATACTATTCCATTCAAATGGTAGTTCGAATGCAAAATCCTTTGAGCAAAAATACATATGACTAGAAAAAAAAATATTTTTCTGAAAAATTGAAAGAGGAAACTACTCATTCAAGATGAATAATGAGTAAAATAACCATAATATTGTACTGCATGCATGCATACATTTTGAAGTGATGGTTTCTTAAATGATATTTCTATTATCATCTTCTAACAAACGACTTAATTATTATAGTATTGAGTGTCATTAACCTAGAAATGTCTACTAAGTTTTGAATTCTTTTCAGTTTTAATTTTCATATATATGTAGGATGGGATATAAATAGCAATATAATTTAAAACATGAAATATATCTTAGTGGGATAAATCAAATGATTTGATATTTGTTTAGCAATAGAAGTTTATTCAAACTTTTTTTTCACACAGAGGATATAAACGATACTATATTGATGAAAAATAGAACCAATTTTCAGAACTACCTAGTTAGTTCAATTGACTTTCTATGCAAACTAATAGTAGATATTTAAGTATTTAAATTAATAACTATCAGCATAGTTCATCTTCACTGCTTGTCACTATAATTTTTCTCGTAACAGATAAGACTTTGTTTAGTGAAGTTAGAAATATAATTTAAGAGTG